GTTCAGCATGAAGAAGCCAGAGAGTCGGCATCCAGTTCCCAAATCAATAAGACAGTTGATTTAATTACCATTGGAAAATGCTTGTCATTTTCCTGTAGGTCCCACTGGATCCTTTTCATTTCCTTCATCTGCTCCCCCCACCAACCAATTTCTGCAGCTCTGCAACTGCATCCCTGCCCATCCTCACCCTTCTGCCCCAAACCCTCACCTCCTTGTACCCCCAGTATGGTTTTTTCCCAATTAAAAAAAACAAAGAAAAGAAAAAAAAAACAACACCAAGACCAGGGGCTGACTGAAGAACAGATCATCAACTACTCATATGCAAGGTCACACTGAAGTGGAAGGATATAAAAATAAGTTTATAAGAACCAAAATATTACCTTATGTCTATTTCGACTGAATGAAGAAATCATCTCAATAACAGATTGAATGTATCTGAACATTAATGACAAGTTGTGGAATGATATAAAATATTTCATCTATAGTGAAAACAAAAAGTCATTACAAAAGACTGAAAAGAAAGGAAAATCCTGTAGTTGAGTTGTTATTGCTGTTGTATGCCTTTGAGTAGCTGACCCTTCAGTGGGTTTTTAGAGGCAATTAATTGCACGGGAGGAGATTGCCTATCCTTTTCTCACAGAGAAGCTGGTAAATTCTAACCTTAGGGACTGCAGTGCAGTTTCTTACCAGTGTTGTCATGTGCCATTGAATGACCCATGACTAATAGCAATTCTATGCACAACAGTTGTGAACCCTGCCGTGTCCTAAGCCAGTCTCACTGCCTTTGGGACATGTGCCCCTATTACCTCAGTTACAGTGACAATCCATCTCCTCTGGGGTCTTCCTCTCCTGGGCTGTCCATCTACCCTTCCAAGCATGATGTCCTTCTCTAAGGTCTTAACACCAGGCCACCAGAAAGCAAAAAGTCACAAAAGAAGAGAAAATCCTGTAGTTGAGTATAAAGTCTCTAAATTCCTTCTGCCAAGAGAAGGTGATGTTGCACGAGGTCCAAAACCCAAAAATCATCTGTGCCTTCTGCTCAGGTCACCACCAAACTCATCTGTGCAAGGACACAGGCTAGGAGCTAGGAGAACAAGTTCCTCATGCCTGAGCTGAAACCAGGCAGGAGCTACAGGATCACAGCCAACCAACACCACCACTGAAGCAGGGAGCCTGTGGCTCACCTATAGAAAACCACCGGCATTTTCCTTCAGTTGACACTGCTCTGCTCTGTTAATGCCTTTGTTCCAGGTCTACCATTTCAAAGTAGATAGTTTCAATTTCTGCTTCCAGTCCAGTTATTATTTTGATGGAGGGGCTGGCCTCCAGACCTTCCTACTCTGCTGTTTTAGGTGACATTGCTTTCCACTACTTTACTTCACTAAAACTTTGTGTTCTTTCAGTCACTATGCTTACATTTAAAAATTATTTTGGTGATAATAGATATAGCAGGAAAATTGCTATTTTAAGCATTTGACATGTTCAATTCAGTGGCATTGATTAAATTCACAGTATTGCACAACCCTCACTGTTATCCATTTCCAAAACTTCCTCATCACCCAAACAAAAACTTAGTACTCATTAAGCAATAAGCCTCCATTTCTCATTCTACTCATCTCTTGTTAATTATTAGTCTACTTTTGTCCCATGCATTTCTTGATGGTACAGTATGTTCCATTCTAAGCTACTAACTGAAGAATTATTGGTCCAAACGCACGCAAAGTCATCTCAGAAGAAAAGTTTAGTAATCAGCTTCCAAGAGGTTGAAACTACGAAAAATACAACTCCTCAGAGACCAGAGGCCAGAAGTCAATGGAATGATGCACTGATAGTACTGAAAGACAGAATGACTAACTACAAAATTTCTTTCTGGTAGATTGTTGCTGTCATGTGTTGTTGAATCTGAACCGATCCATAGCTGATCCTCCAGAGGATTTTCAGGGTCACATGGAGGAGATTGCCCATCACAGAGCAGGAGATTGCCTATCCTTCTCCAGCAGAGCAGCTGGTGGGATAAGTCCTTTGAAAATAAGGAGAGATTGAAAACGTTCCTGACTAAACCAAAGTCAAAGGGGTTAATTGTAAGTAGGCCTAGATTAAGAGAAATACTTTTGTGCAGATCATAACAAATTATGGCTAATATTGGGAAGAATGAGGGCCCCAGAACATTTGATTGTGTTTGTGTGCAACCTATTCCTAAACCAAGAGGCTATTGTGTGCCACAACAATATAAAGGTAAATAATCCAATTGAAAAGTGGGCATAGGATATGAACAGACACTTCACCGAAGAAGACATTCAGATGGCCCATAAGCACATGAAGAAATGTTCAAAATCCCTAGCTCTAAGGGAGATGCAATCAAAGCAACTATGAAATATCATCTCACCCCAGTCAGAATAGCAAAATTTAACAGAAGAGCAAACAACAAATGCTGGTGAGGTTGTGGAGAGACTGGAACCCTTATCCACTGTTGGTGGAAGTGTCAAATGGTGCAACCACTGTGGAAAGCAGTATGGCGCTTTCTCAAAAAGTTGCAAATAGAGACACCATTTGACCCAGAAATTCCACTACTGAGAATATACCCCAAAGAGACTATAACTGCCACCCAAGCAGATATATGCACACCATGTTTATCGTGGCTTTGTTCACAATAGCAAGGAGTTGGAAACAACCTGAGTGCCCACCAACAAACGAATAGATAGAGAAGCCATGGTATACTCACACAATGGAATACTATGCTACATTGAAAAATAAGGAACTCATGCAATATTATTCAAAATGGGTAACCCTGGAGGACATTATGCTGAGTGAAATGTCTCAGTCACAAAAGGGCAAATGCTGCGTGGTGCCACTGTTGTAGAATGGGACTGACATCAGGGTTGGGGTAAGACAGAAAAACTGAATAAATAATGTATACTGCACTGAAACAGATGAGGGAGAGAATAATTTAAAAGCCATGTATGATAGGGTATTATTGTTATCACAAAAGTCCAGAATGAAGGTTGCATAGTGGAGTCAACTGGGGCGGTGGAGGGCGGGGAGAGTGTGGGGGGATTGTATACCAATGAAATAATTTTTCTTCTGCTTTTCAAAGAGAGGAGAGAACTGTGGGGAGGGCTGGGCAGGGAGAAAAGTGCAACAATGGATGAATGGAAATCTCTGTAAATATTCATTAAAATTAATAAAATTTTTTTTAAAAAGAGGTTATTGTGCAAACAGACTAAGGGAACACTACATGGCTTAAAATGAGGAAAGATATGTGTCAGGGTGGTATCCTTTCCTATCTCCATACTTATATAATCTATATGCTGAGCTAAAAATCTGTTTGAAAAGCTGGACTCTATGAAGAAAAATGTGACATCAGGTTCAGTGGAAGAGTCTTAAATTACCTTCAGTATGCAGGTGACATAACCTTGCTTACTGAAAATGAGGAGGGCTTGAAGCACTTGCTGCAGAAGGTTAAAAACTATAAACTTAAATATTAGTTGCATCTCAACATCAAGAAAACAAAAATCCTCACCACTGGACTGATAGGCAACATCATTATGGATGGAAAAAAGGATTGAGACTGTCAACAATTTCATCGTACTTGGCTCCACAATCAATACACCCAGTACCAGCAGTCAGGAAATCAGGAGATGCATTGTACTGGGAAAATCTTCAGTTAGAGATCTCTCCAAATTATTGAGGAGTAATGATGTCCATTTGAGGACTAAACCATGCTTGATTCAGGCAATGGTCTTTTCAATCACTTGCTATGCATCCGAGAACTGAAATGAATAAGGATGA